AATCCCCCATGACTATAAGTCTGGGGGTCTCAACCGCCACCCCGGCTATTACGTCAGCCAACTCAGGCAGGGCCGTTGATACATAGCAGGGAGCTAGGTATATAATCAACAGGCCCACTTGTACCCCTTGCCCCCACTTCACAAGGAGGGACTCCCCACCGTCTATCTGAGGTACAGTGGTCTCCCTCGGACATAGGCTGTCCCTTACAATGACCGCTACCCCACCGCCCCTGCCCCGGGTCCTTGGCTGATGGAATACCTGGCTGATGGAATACGTGACTGTTTGAAGTTACAATGGCAAGGAAAAAAGTGACTTATGACCAGTGGTGGGGTTCAAATATATGAACAACCAGTTCTCTGTGGGGATGCTGCTTCTGGAAATCCATTCTGGGCCTGGGCAACAAAAAATTAGCTACTGGTTCTGCCGAAGTGATGCAAACTGGCTGAATCCCACCACTGCTTATGACCATTTTTCACATTTACAACCTTTGCAGCATCCCCATAGTCACATGATCAAAATTCAGACACTTGGCAACTGACTTGGTAAAAAAGATGCTGAGACTCTAGAAAGAGTACAGAGAAGAGCAACAAAGATGATTAGGGGACTGGAGGCTAAAACATATAAGGAACGGTTGCTGGAATTGGGTATGTCTAGTTTAACAAAGAGAAGGACGAGGGGGGACATAATAGCAGTGTTCCAATATCTCAGGGGCTGCCCCAAATTAGAGGGAGTCAACCTATTCTCCAAAGCGCCTGAAGACAGGACAAGAAGCAAAGGATGGAAACTGATCAAGGAGAGAAGCAACCTAGAACTAAGGAGAAACTTCCTGAAAGTTAGAACAATTAACCAGTGGAACAACCTGCCTCCAAAAGCAGTGAATGCCGGGGATAGATTATTCTAGAGAAAGTGTATCTGTGTGATTGCAGAACTGACTTGATGACACATAATCAATCAATCAGTCAATCAATATTCGTTCTGGCTATCCATAATGGGTTTTCAGTAAATTTACATTCAGTGAAACCGCTGCATAATGAGTTTTCAATTAAATTTCAAACATATCTTCAGCTGCATTTTTTCTCATCCTAACAGAATAACAGAGTTGGAAGGGACCTTGGAGATCTTCTAGTCCAACTCTTGCTCAAGCAGGAAACCCTATATTATTTCAGACAAATGGTTGTCCAATCTCTTCTTAAAAACTTCCAGTGTTGGAACATTCACAACTTCTAGAGGAAAGTCATTCCACTGATTAATTGTCCTGTCAGAACATTTCTCCTTTGTACTAGATTGGTTCTCTCCTGGATCCTTTCTCGTTCACAACCTATTTTGCTTCATAGTTCCATCAAACAAAATGTTTCTTGGCTCCCATTGATGTAACTCCACAACGTTTTAGAATAGAAATGTTCCCACTTTCTTCCAAATGGCCCTTTTCCTTATATTCACTTTCCATTCGTCCTGTTGGACTAAGGAGAAATTTCCTGACACTTAGAACAATTAATCAGTGGAAGGACTTGCCTCCAGAAGTTGTGGATGCTCCAACACTGGGTGCTATTTAAGAGGAGATTTGATAACCATTTGTGTGAAATGGTATAGGATCTCCTGTTTGAGCTGGGGCCTCCAAGGTCCATTCCAACTCTATTATTATTTTTTTATTAATCTAGCTTTGAATATTTTATACAATACTTTCCCCGACAGTCATATTATTTTCATTCTAGTTCTTTTTATTCCTTTCCCTATTTCCTAAGTCAACATCCCCTTTTAATATTACATTGTGACTGTCATCACCCTTGTGATGCCTTTGTAGCACCTGCAGGTATTTGCTCACGTTAATTCTACCTATTTCTGCAATCAATGTTATTTCTTCACTGTGGTTTTGGGGCCCCACAGTTACAGTGGAAACCTAACCATCCCAGTTTCACAAGACATCTGTGTACCATATTTGGCATAAGACTATTTCTTTTTTTCCTCTACCCTAAATACAATATATGGCTTTCTCTCTACCCTTTAAAAAGACACACTATCTTCCCTGTTTTTTATCTTAATTCTCCACATGATTCTAGAATAGCGTTCTGGCCTTTAGCATATTAGGTAAATAGCAGTGCTCTCACACAAGGCCTAAATGAATAGGCTCAAATTAACATAATTTAGACACATTATACAAAATCCTATCTCTCTTGGCTAGTCTATGGAACCAGGAATGTTGGAAGGAAAGAGAAAAGGGAGGACCAAGAACAATTAATAATGGTGGTGGTACACCCAGGCCTGAAGGACCAGGCCAGGGATAGATTATTCTAGAGAAAGTGTATCTGTGTGGTTGCAGCACTGATTTGATGACTCATAATCAATCAATCAATCAATCAATATTTGTTCTGCCTATCCATAATGGGTTTTCAGTAAATTTACATTCAGTGAAACCGCTGCATAATGAGTTTTCAATTAAATTTCAAACATATCTTCAACTGCATTTTTTCTCATCCTAACAAAATAACAGAGTTGGAAGGAACGTTGGAGGTCTTCTAGTCCAACCCCCTGCTCAAGCAGGAAATCCTATATCATTTCAGACAAATGGTTGTCCAATCTTTTCTTAAAAACTTCCAGTGTTGGAACATTCACAACTTCTAGAGGAAAGTCATTCCATTGATTAATTGTCCTGTTAGGACATTTCTCCATTGTACTAGATTGGTTCTCTCCTGGATCCTTTCTCGTTCATAAGGTGACCAACTGTCCTCCTTTAGGGAGGACAATCCTCCTTTTGTAAGTTCTGTCCTCCCTCGAAAAGTGTCCTCCTACATGTCTTCCTTTTCGATATTTGAAGACTAATCTGCAGAGCTTTTTTTTCTCATAGAACACTCAAAATGGCGTTCCGGCACCTTTTTTTATGGGTTTTTTTTCAACTTTTGCATGAGCTGTGCTACTCCTCCTATTGGCTTTCAAAAGCCAATAGGAATTGCTGCTGAGCATGCAAAATACCTGGCCGGCAAACTTTGCACATGCAAGTTGTCTGCAGCGAAGGCGAATTGGCAGGAACTTTGCACCTCTCCCTGCTACCCAACTACACCATCTCCTAGTTAGTCCCAAAGATACCTGGAGGAGACTGGAGCGGCGATACCATCGTATGTTTCTCTTGATCTTCGGCCCTGCTAGGGCAATAATGGCTGCGGGCACAAGAGGCAGGGGCGGCGGGGCTGCTGCGGGCGGGGGTGTGAGGGGCGACAGCGGCTGGCTGCCCCGTGCTGTATAGTGCGGGCTGGGGCCTGCACTATACGGGGCTGTGCAGGGTGGGAAGTGGTGCTGGCGGGGTGGCTGCAGGTGGGGTGTGTCAATGGCAAGCTGCCCCCCGGGGCCGGAGCCAGCGCGGCTGGTGCTTTGGGAGCCGCGGGGTCCGCTCTACACAGTGGGGCAGCGGTGCTGGTGGGGCGGCTGCAGGCGAGAACGCGGCGGGCGGTTGACCTACCATGGGCCAGGCCAGCTGGTGGTCTACCCAGTGCTGGACCTGCGCTGCCACCACCTCGCCCTGCACACCTACGTGGCTGTCCTGGAGCATCTGGCCCACAACACCTGCCTCCGCCGCCCACCCCGCGCAGTCCCGCCATGTAGAGCGGGCCTAGCAGCTCCCACAGCACTAGCCACTCCAATGATAATCTTAAGCATTTTTTTTCATAAATAATACTAAATGTCATTTTTTAATGGAATGAGATGGGGAAAGTCAGCCTGGCTGACATGGGGTGAGCACGAGGCAGGCGCACACATGGACTCCACTGAAATGTTGATAATGTCAAAAAAAACAAAACATCAGCAATTCGTTGTTCTAAAATGGGTCTTTTCTAGCTTTCTTTTAAACACAAACTTTATATAAATCATCAGTATTGTAACACAATCTTTTCTTTATTTTTCCCTCAAAATCTACTTTTGGATATGAAAAGCTATATTTTAACAGCTTGTATACTGTTTATAAAAATAAATTATTTAAAGATATGCAACTATATTTTTTCATATTTATCTAATGTTACTTTTGCAATCCATTTTCTTTCTGTCATTAATTCCCCAAGAATAAGAAATGTAAATTGTAAACTCCTCATAGCACAGTTCTATATCATTGTTAAAATACACTGGGCAATTATGGACATATTCATTCATATTCATAAATAGATTGAATTGTAACGCTTTCCCTCTCACTTAAGCCTGTGTGTATACTTATTGAACATAGCCAGGCCATTTTTTATCAGCAGTTGTAAAGAAATAGAAACAAAATGTTTAACTTATGTATTAATAACCATTTCTTTGCAATTCATTATCTTGTCAGTAACATGATTCCATCAATTAAACACATATATGTTGAAGGCAGCATATGCACTTGTATTAGATATCTA